CAAGACTTGACCAATGCTGGAGCAGGTTCAGGTACATTCAGGAGCCGGTGCATGCCCAGTACTTGCTATCAGTGCGTAACAGAGACGTGACCGATCGCCGAAGCGGCTAACTAGCCGATCATTTGGTGAAGAGGATAAAAGAAACGGAAAAGTAACAGAGACGTGACCGATCGCCCAAGCGGCTAACGAGCCGATCAGTGGTGAAGAGGATACAAGTAAACGTAAAATAACCACACCCCTCTTGCAAGTTTCTTGAGAAAGGTTCGTAAATGAGTCATATCCAGCAATACTGAAGTCCCATTCCTCTGGGTCGGTTCTCCTGTTCTTGTACAGCAGTTCTACAACTTCTACAATATTTGGTTGGTGTACCTTCATTAGTGTTTCAAACTCCTTTCTTTTATCAAGTAACGTGTCAGTATTAGTGTACATGACATTCAAGCCAGAATTTGTTCTCGGTAACGTCTCTGCTCTTAGTAGTAACCTCCCCCCCCCCCCTTATTCACAGAAGCTGCAGCATTTGCTAAGTATACTGTATTTTGCAGGGTGTGGTTAGAAATGTAATTGTTTACTCGGCGCTCGCCTCCTCCCGGCTGGTAAGTGTCCCACTAAGCGGAGCTGGTGCCACCTTCCGGGTGGGGGTAGAGGGTGAGCTGGTGCTCCCTGGCCCTATGTCGGCACACTTGCTTCCACTACCCTCTCCCTGAATGCAACCCATGTACACCCGTCCGTGTTCCTCCTCAACTCTTACCTTCTCTTCTTCAAGCCCTGCAGGAGCTTCTTGTGCTCTTCCCTCTGCATTGCCGTGCGATCTGGGTGAATGAATACACTCTGTTGCTTTAATACTTATGTGGAAATAAAATGAAATAATTACAAAGTATAAGTGGTGTCATAATATTTTTTTTTTTTTTATGAAACTGAACCCTGGCCTGAGTTATGGGCTATGTTGAGTACCAGCCAGCCAACATTTCTTTTTGGGGGGGTTTGAGGGGAGGGGGTGGTGGTTTGTCTGTCGATTGCCCCAGGCGGCCAAGTCTTTATCCGGCACTGCAAGCAAGATATTATTGGCTTAGATAATATTATTTAAACAAGTTTTGACCCATATTTTTTATAATTCGTCTTAGCATGTTAGTCGGCAATATACAAAGTTAGCTATTTTAACAAAACTGGCATGTTGGAGAGTATACAAAGTTACCCCTAAAATAATACCAAAGAAAATAAAAAATTCAACTATGCTTAAAAATTATATTAAAATATACTTTCACCACCTATTAGCTTATTACGTTTTTATTGAATTTCATAAAATAATTATAAATATTTATTAATATTAATATAACTATAAAGTTTGCCTTCACTAGTAGTTTCATTATTTTTTTCAGCAGCAGAGAATGTCAATTCAAATTTTGTTTGTGGATAAATGACGTGACGACTGAGCGGACGACACACCTCCTGCTACTGTACTGTATGTTTAACAAAATCTGTGGGATATAGGCAATACATCTTCATAGTGAGGCCATAGAGAAGTAAGAAATACTACTATCATATATGTTAATAAGGTAATAGTGCATGGACCGTCCACCTGCTGAATGCTGTTGTTGTTTTACTGTTACTATTATTATACTACCTCTGGCACTATTGTGTTACTATTATTATACTACCTCTGGCACTATTGTGTTACTATTATTATACTACCTCTGGCACTATTGTGTTACTATTATTATACTACCTCTGGCACTATTGTGTTACTATTATTATACTACCTCTGGCACTATTGTGTTACTATTATTATACTACCTCTGGCATTATTATTACCTGATTGTCACTATTAGTTTAGTAAACAGGTGACCATACCCAACCTAAGTCAGTCACTATCTAAACCTTGCACAAAGCTTCTTACTATCATTACCCATAGTGGCGTCCCACATCAAAACACTTGCCACAAAGGCTGTATCGGTATAGTGCTACAGATTTAGTAACAATAAACAATCATTGTTTTATTGGTAATATTTAAGGTAAAATTTATCTTGTTGCCACAATACGAAATTGTAGTTGAAACTATGTTTTTCCTATGGTGTTTGATATGTTATGAACGAATTTGACTGAGATTAGCCCCCTCCCATCTCAGAATTTCGAGATTTTTTATATAAAAATCAAGGCAAAAGGTGTTCAAAACATCGAAATTCATCGGAAAAACAAAACCTGGTCAATATTTGGAAAATGACACAAGGCAACTGAATATTAAGTCATATGTGGGGAGATAGAAAAAATGGTACATTTTTGCAGGACACCCACGGATTTTTTGTTGAGCAATGTGTTTTACCAGTGTTTTGTGTTGCGGTCCGACTAATTACCCAAATGTACCCAAATGTAGCCGCAATGAAGTCAATTAATGGTCCTACATGAATAAGTCGGACTGCGAATCACTTCTCGACTAGTATTTGGTGTCACAAAGTCACAAAAAATTGGAAAACTTACTTTAATCTGAGTTAATAGATCACGTGCATGTACCGAGGGAGCGAGTAATTACCCAAATGTAGCCAAATGTAGCCGCAATGAAGTCAAATGATGGTCCTACAAGCGTAAATCGGGCTGTGAATCACTTCTCGATTATTATTTGGTGTCATAAAGTCACAAAAAATTGGTAAACTTAATTTAATCTGAGTTGTGTTGTGTTAGGTTAGGTTCATGCACTCGATCTATTAACTCAGATTTAATTAAGTTTACCAATTTTTTGTGACTTCGTGACACCAAATACCAGTCGAGAAGTGATTGGCAGTCCGATTTATTCATGTAGGACCATTATTTGACTTCATTGCGGCTACATTTGGGTAATTAGTCGGACCCTTGTGTTGTGATTTGAATGAATTTGACCATGATTTTTGTCGCAAATTAGCCGTTTTTGAGTCCCCCCTCCCATTTGGTGGACCTGATGGAAATCGGGGTTTTTGGGTGGGGGAAGCACACACAGCTAATTGGCAGCAAAATCATGGTCAAATTCCTTCTAATCACAACAAAAACATCGGAAAACACATTGGTCAACAACCAAAAAGCACCAAAACTAACTCAACTTAACAAATCTAATCTACCTAACCTGTTGTGTTACCTTAGGGTTAAGGAGATGTTGCCAGAGCAGCTGCCCCTGGAGGTTCAGTCAGCACAGAGGTTCGCCATATTCGAATTGAACGGCGGGAGGAGCCCGCGAGCGTGACCTAGAAACCCAAGTGATATTCTTGACTGACGCGGGAGATTTGACGTACAGTATTGGAAAAGGTTATATTAATGGCTATTCTATTGCCGTTATTAAACATTTGCGAGCATATTATATGGAACCAAAAATGTTTAAAATGGTCAATTACATTGATGTGACGTAATACTCTTGCGCTAATCAGAGTTCGCGGACAGTTGGAAGATGGCGTCTGTGTGAGAAGGATGTACATTGGCTGGCTGCCTTATTATTCAGCACATTTTGGACACTGAAGCAGCAGCCGTTGTCATTTTTAGGGCTCACGGTGTTTTTGTTTCATCTTTTAAGTGACAGAGATGTAATTCAGTGTCATTACCGTGTAGATCACCATTCATGGTACTGTGATAATAGACTGACACTGACGGCCACTTCCTCATTCAAGCCACATCACTATCTTCCTGTATGTCTTACTTAAAAGTTTCTTATGCACTAGGGGTTAGGTTAAGTTTTTTAGGCTCGTACATTGACTTTCCACCTTTTTTTTTCCAATATCTCAACTACTGCTCATTTACGATAGCAATGAAGTTCATATTTGTATTTAACATAATTGATTTACACTATAAAAACCTATTTTCAATATTCAGTTGCCTGGTGTTATTTTCTAAATACAAGTATTGACCCAAAACCCTGACCTAACCTAACTGGGGAGCTCCACAGTCGTGCGATGTTCTGGGTTTGTTCCACCACGTACGAAAATACATACCGGTAATAAAAATTTTTAAAAGTCTCTCTCTTAAACGTAATTTGCGGCAGAAATGTCATTGAAGAAAAGTGGTCTTAGAATTGTCAAAATTACCTATTGTAACTATAAATTTCCCTGAGATTCATGTAGTCGCAGCAAGTGAAATAATACCATATTTAAGAACAATGGTCAAGGTTAACCAGCCACATAATTAGAACTACTGTATACTATAGAAAAAAAAACGGTAATATCGCTTTTAATTGCCCAACAACTTTTTTGCTTTTATTTAGACAATTTTAAAACTTTTTTCTTCTATGATATCTTTGTCAAATTTATATATTTCAAGTATTTTAACTGATAAAATTACCAACAATACTGTATTAGTCTTTTAAAGTGGGCAGGGCTTTGAAGTAGAGGGAAAATTTGGGGTAAAAAACTAAAAATAACACTAAACAAACTTTTTAAAACCTTACCTCACATTTCCTAACTTGTAAAAATCCTAAAACTATGAAGAGTTTACCTTACTCATATTTTCGGTGTTTAGTAGGTGATGGTGGTGTTTTTGTTTTTTTTCGTATGTGTTGGAGTGTTCCGTGTTCAGATGAAGAGGGATCCATGAACTCATAAGCGATTCTTAAAATTTGTACAAGTTAGGAAATGTTTTGGAATCAGTAATTTAGACAATTTTAAGACACATTTCTTGGTAATTATTTACGACTTCACCGCCGCAGATTTTTCACAGAAAATTAATTTACTTTTACTTTTTTACTTTTATCCTCTTCGCCACTGATCGGCTTGTTAGCCGCTTGGGCGATCGGTCACGACTCTTTTCCTTTATATTCTTCACCAAAAGGTCGGCTCGCTAGCCGCCCGGGCGATCGGTCACGCGTCTCTGTCACGACTGTTGGCAAATACTGGGCATGCACTCCTGAATGTACCTGAACCCGCTCCAGTGTTGGTCAAGTCTTCTCTTGAAAGAGCTCACACTCGGTGCCGTCACAACACTTTCTGGTAGATTGTTCCAAGAGTTTACAACCCTCACTCCGAAAAAGTTTGCCCTCACGGTTTTCCGGACTTGCGGCTTCTTCAATCTTGAGCTGTGACCCCTTGTGGGGCGAGCGTCCGCCAGCTCCAAGTAAGGACACTCAACTGAGTAGTGCCCCCTGAGATGCAATCTCACTGTTATATAGTGGACACTCGTAGTTATGGCAAATGTGTTAAAAGGTTTATTTAAATGCAGTGGATATTTTGCCATGACCGGCAAAGTTCCTACTAATGTGAGTGTGCTCTGATTGGCGAATTGTCCATTACCGGCGAGCAAAATGGTAAGATATCCACTGCGTTCATTTTTTCTTGAGATATTGTTTGGTTAATATTGAGCAGTTACCACCTCCTAACTGAATATTGAGGCATATATGGGGAGATAAAGAAAAAATTAAAACTAATTTATTCTATAACTTTTCCGTCTGAAATCTAGTTACAGGTATTTTAACTTATTTTATAATATTTGGCCAATCAGCGTGAGCTGATAATAATAATAATAATAATAATAATAATTAACGGTTTATTGAAAAAGTTCTGCAGCCCGAAGGCTGAAAATATACATTGGACATAAATGACTTATTACATACATTGGTGGTTTAACAAAAGCCTTCATTAGAGAAAGGTGAAGGAACATACAGTGAACATACAGATTAATGTAGGTGTTGAACAGCAAACACGTAGTGTAGTAACTCCCTCCCAGATGGTGTTAGGAGGGACCTCACGTGGTGTAATGGTTCCCACAGATGGTGTTATGAGGGGCCTCACGTGGTGTAGTAATTCCCTCACAGATGGTGTTATGAGGGGCCTGACGTGGTGTAGTAATTCCCTCACAGATGGTGTTATGAGGGGCCTCACATGGTGTAGTAATTCCCTCACAGATGGTGTTATGAGGGGCCTCACGTGGTGTAGTAATTCCCTCACAGATGGTGTTATGAGGGGCCTCACGTGGTGTAGTAATTCCCTCACAGATGGTGTTATGAGGGGCCTCACGTGGTGTAGTGATTTCCTCACAGATGGTGTTATGAGGGGCCTCACGTGGTGTAGTAGTTCCCTCACAGATGGTGTTCTATGAGTGAGGTGTGATCCCAGGCCTTCCTATCGTAGACGGATTAACACATCGCTGGTTGTTGGGTCGGGCCGTTATCACTGGGTACCTGGGACCTCACTGTGTGAAGGTCAACTTGGGTACCACTGTTACTGTTGAGTTGTTCTCACTGACTTAAGCACTGTTCACCACTGTTCACCTCTGTTTAACACTGGTTCCATTCCTTTCCTAAATGAAATAGTAACTTCTGGCGTGAACTTGTTGATATTCCGGTGGGGAGGAGGGTTCAGGGGAGGGAGTTGGTATGGGCCAACTTAACAGTTGACCTGGCTGCTCCGAGAGGAGCGCCAGGTACGTCTTGACCCTTCGGTGGTCAAGGATGACATAGTCGTGCGCGCTAATCAGCGTGAGTGCTGATGTGACATAATACTCATGCGCTAATCAGCATTCGCGGCCAGTTGGAAGATGCCGACTGTGCGAAATGGATGTACTTTGGCTGGCTGCTGCATTAAACAGCTTATTTTGGACAATGAAGCAGCAGTCGTTGTCATTTTTAGGGCTCACGGTGATTTTGTTTCATCTGTAAGGTGTCCAAGATGTAATTCAGTGTCAGTACCATGTAGATCACCATGCATGGTACTGTGGTAAGAAACGAACACTGACAAAGACATCACTTCCTCATTCAAGTCGCGTCACTCTATCCTCCTGTATCCCTTTCTTAAGGTAAGTTTCTTACACACTAAGGGTTAGGTTAGGTTTTAGTTTTTTTGAGGTTTTTACATTGCTTGACCTTGCACTTTTTTCCCCCCCATATATCAACTATTGCTCATTTCCGATGGCAGTAAAGGTCATACTGTATTTGTATTTAACATGATGATTTACACAATAAAAACCCATTTTCAAAAGTCAATTAGGTGGTGGCAACTACCAAACATGTATCTGTTGTTTGGATGATCCATAGTAGGAAAATAGTAATGACAATGCACAGGTTAGGTAAGGTAAGGTAAGGTTCTAATAGGGTTATTATTGCGGTTTCAGCCCCAAATCAGCAATTTTGTGTTTACCATTAGTTATATGAGGCGCTTCGCATTAGAAGGGGGTGAAGCGACACCCAGGCCAAAATGCGTTTTTTGATGGATATCACTATTTTCACCCTTCCTCTACATGTTGGTGTTGGATGTAATCCTCTAGCTAGAATAGAAATATGGTTGAAAGTCCTTCAAAAATAAGGTGTGATTTCACCTCGGGCTGGGAGCTACGTATTTGGCCCTGTGCGCTCAGTCAAAGAAGGTGGCAACATCCTGTTCACAGCGCACATACCTCTTGAGGCAGCCAATCACAATGGATTTCCCCTTGCTACTTCACAGCTCCTCGGCCAATCCGCATGCCCAGATGATGCCTCCTTCTTAGTTTTGGCACGTATTATAGCATAAGGAGGTTCAGTGTACTACATTCTACTGCTATTTTTGATAACTTTTCGGCCTAACATTGACGTTATTCGTGTTCCATGGGTGTGAGAAGTGCTGTGCAATGTCTACCTGATATTAGAGCAAGACTCGGGTGAGGCCAGGCCTTCTGGTGTGGGTTCAGGAGCCCATTATATGAGAATTGTGGTGAAATTGCATTAAGAAGTGTTTAAGGAATCTTGTGGGAGAGGGGGACGGAGTACCCACCCTTGATTACACCTCCCCCCTCCTCCAGGGCTGCCGTTTGTCGGAAATTGCTTCTGTTAGTTGGATGAAAGAAAACGGATACGACGCCATCGGATTAGTAACGTGTCACTTTCCGTCAATCGTAAATTTCAAGGTTTTTTTTTTGGGGGGGTGGCTAAATGCCATATAATAATAAAGGAAGAAATTGCCCAACTACAGTGGTCCCTCAGTTAACGAGCACAATTCGTTCCAGAAGGTTGCTCGTTAACCGAAACCATTGTTTCAATGGGTTTTTGGGTAATTGGTTCTAGCTCACCGAAAATTACATACAAACTAAAAATAAATGCAGTAAAGTACACTTACTTTGAGGTGTGCATGTAGAAGGTTCCTGGTTGATGATGATGATGATGATGATGGGAATTAGAATGGGGGTGGAGGAGACGGGAGAAGAGAAGGCACCCCATGCCGCCATTTTACCCATAAAATTTTAGTTCACTTGGTGTAATCCAAGATTATTTTCTTTAAATCAACACTGCACTGCAGTATATATTATCAATATGTAGAATATATTTCAAAATGACCAATAATTTGACTGGAAACACAGAAAAAAAAGCATTTATGTTGAGTCTCAAGCAAGATGTTTATTCCTCTGAACCGGTAAACAAACTGATGCCAAGTTTGGTGTGTTGAGTGGCTGTTTGGCGCGCAAAAAACTAGTTTCCTGTACTTCAATTATGTTCAATAATTGTTAAAATGACAAAAAAATTTAATACTGTATAAAACTTTTAAAATTATTGAATAGTACAACCTTCTTACTGTATTGGCGGACTAATACTACAGCTGGTGAGCAGGCAGATGCAGGCGAAAACATGTTGGGAAAAATTCGTTAACCGAAATTTTTTCGTTAACCGAAGGGAAGAATCTTATGGAAGGTAATTCGTTAACCGAGGCTCTCGTTAACCGAGGGATCACTGTATATAAAAATAGACTGAATTTTGCACAATATGTCAATATGAGATACAAAACCTTCTTGATGGTAATGTGCACAGAAATTAAAAGGAGGTTTAACATCAATGATCCCTCTTTTAAAAATATTCTCATTTTTTAATCCCCAGAAAGCTCTAGATACAATTATTTCAAGAATGTCATTGTCAGACTTGGTTGAATTGGTACCAAGGATATTTAATGAAACCCTTCAGGAGTTAAAGGATCAGTGGCAGAGGCTATGCTGGGAGACAATAGATGACGAAACAAAAAAATGGATATTTTTAATTTTTATAAGAAAGTAATGAAAATGAAAGATGATGAGAGGAACCGTAAAAATTATGTAATTGGAAAATTTGCGTTGGGCGTCTTGGCATTACCAACGTCTAACACAGGCGCTGAAAGACTATTTAAAAAATTGAACCTTAGGCGCACCACCAGCACTCTCTCTTGTACGATTTCCAGTCATTTTAAAGTCAATTAAATACGATACTAATGTACGTACACAACGCGATCAGTTTAGGATACGATAGCCAAACACTAAGCGCTGTACTGAGTGAGTGTAACCACGTGGTGACCCAAGCCACGCCACACTTTCGCTCAGGACGGAAACGTTTCGGTATAGAAAATGCGCTCGTCATTTGAAAAAAATTTGGTCACGACTGCGGAGGTCGTATGTCCCGAAGGTCGTCAGGCCAGAGCAGGTCGTAAGTGCGTATTGACTTAAGTTGAGTCAGTCGTAAGTCGGGGACCACCTGTATATTCAATTTTTTTTAGTCATTTTAACAATTATTGAACATATTTGAAGTATAGGAAGCTTGTTTTTTGCACACCAAATACCCTGTCAACACCCCATACAGGCGTCAGTCTCTGTGCCTTTTCAGTGGAGGTAACATCTTCCTTCAGACTCTCTTCAACATACATGCTTTTTTCTGTGTTTCCAAGCACATTATTGGTCATTTTGAAATTTATTTTACATATTGACAATATATAATGCAGTGCAGTGTTGATGTAAAGAAAATAATCTTTAATTACACCAAGTGAACTAAAATTTTATGGGTGAAATGGCGCCATGGGGTGACTTCTCTTCCACCCCAGTACCTTCTCTTCTCCCTTCTCCTCCACCCCCATTCTATTTCCCATCATCATCATCCAGGAGCCTTCTACATACACACCTGAAAGTAAGTGTACTTTACTACCTTTTTGTTGACTTAAGGCAATTTTTGGTTAGCTGGAACCAATTACCCAAAAACACATTGAAACAATGGTTTCGGTTAACAAATTTTTCGGTTAACGAGCAACCTTCTAGAACGAATTGTGCTCGTTAACCGAGGGACCACTGTATTACGTGTTTAAGTAATTATTACGTACATATTTTAATTGCCTGTATGTTGGCCTGGCGAGTTAATGCTAGGTATTTACATACCTACTGTAGGTATAAAGCTAGATGTCGCATTCTGCTTTGAAAATAAAATCATCATATTTTAACAAAGTATTTTCATGATTACTTAAGAAGAAATTACAAATTTTAACTTTTTTCCTTTGAGTTTTCGTTTGTAAATCAATGTAAAAAAAGTAAACTCAAGTTTCATAAATTAGGGAATACTGTATCTATATTTCAACAAATTAGAGTGGTTATTGTTGGAAACTAACTATTTATTTGATGTGATCATTTGCTGCTGACAGAAAGAACAAGCTGTAATTTTTTCTATAATTGATTTTACTTTTCATTTCAGGCCAGTATCATGAGGAGATCTAATTTAGGAAGTGGAAGCGTTCAGCGACCAGGAGCCCTAAAACCGCGAAATGCTGACAATACTCCAAATGACAGGCATGTGTGGACTCTTGTATCGTTTGGGGGGTAAAATTAATTCGTGATGTTAAAAATGTGGTCAGTAAAATGTTTTGAATAGCGTATTTTATGGCATACTAGACGCACGGCCTTATAAGATGCACCCCCCATTTCAGCAGGGAGTATTTAGGAAAAAACTTTTGTGTGTATTTTCCTCCTGTATCCATAGTTTTCTTAAAACAATACAGTATACTGTATACAGTACCAGTAAATGTGAGGAATAAATAAATATAATACCAATAGATAAGTTTAACGCAATCACCATTTGCATATATGTACTGTACATCTGTACTCCCTGCCTGCTTACCATAGCAATGGTGATGTCACATCTGATGATTCCCTAGCAACGCTCCCCCACCAAGCCAGTTAAATCGTGTGCAAAGAAATGTGTATTCCATATGTTATGTTTTTCCTTAGGACAATTATTTCTTTTACTTTTTTCACAATATGTATGTCGGATGGTGTGTGTAGGTACATCAGTAAAAATAAATGAAGAACGTTATGTATATCTATCCAAAAATACGAGTTGAAGAACAACAGCTTGGCCCAGTAGCCTGGTTACAGAGCCGATTCTAACCTGGCTTCAATGCCGCCAGCGACGTTAACAGATGTAAATGTAAAAAGAAGGTTATCTGTAAATCTTCAGTTGTATCAGGTATTTGAAGATTGAAGAATAAATGTAGCAGGTATGACATTAATAGATTGTAATGTTTGTAAGAGTTCAGAAATGGTTACTGCTTAGCTACCTTTGAAGAGTTGGGTGTCTGCCGTATGGATGTTAATAGTCTCAGGTTATCGGCATCAGTACAATGCAGAGTAGTTATAGATTGACTTTTTATATTTGCGATAATAATTTTTTAATTAATTGAAAATAATAATGTATTTAAGTAAGCAATAACACATTTTTAATTCTGGAGTTGGTTTAGGTAGAATTTAGCCTACTGGAGACAGCAACTGGGGGATTCATTAGCTTGTGGGAGATCACAACTTCACATATAGGATGCAGGCTAGATATTGTGGTGGTCTTTTTCTACCAGTGCTTTGTATTTGATTTGTGGAAAACATGTAATTTCCCATTATGTCTAAAGAAAGAATACGTTACGTATATTAAGACCCCCTAACCTGGAAACCCCCATTAATCGTATTCCCCGCATTTAGACATCTACCCTCTCTGACCTTTGCCTCTTCCCTCCATCATTTGCTGTAAATGTTAAATTACTTTCCATTTATATAGAGTAGTGTAGTCTTAATATTAAAGAATGTACAGTACAGTACCGTATTTTACGGCATATAAGATGCACGGCCATTTTATATGCCCCCAAGTAAGCGGGTAATTGGTGCCAACGGAGTGGCGTATACTTGAGAGCTGTGGACTTGGTTTCTATAAACTAATGTGGGGGGGGATGGGTTCTGGGACCGGGACCTCTCCAGATACACACCGTGAACCCAAAACGGGTCTTTCAAAGTTACCCTCAGTTAAATATGTGTACCTTTGTTATATAAAGTGAATGATAAAACAGAAATAAGCCTTTAAATAAGAAGAATAAACATACCTAGTGGTCGTGGAGAGGCCGGCTTGAGTGACGGTTTCCAAGGCTTGGGGGTTGTGTTAAAACTCTCAAGCTCATCAGATGCAGAGGGGCCAGGCTGAACTGCAGGGGGCTTGGCAGAGGTGCAGGGGGGCGAGGCTGAGCTGCAGAGGTGACTGGCTGAGGTGCAGATGGGCTAGGGGCAGCTGTAGACTGGCCAAAAAACTGTGTGATGGTAGACTGGCGTAGCTGATTGATATGGCTTGTGTCGAGGTCTTTGTAAGGCCAGAGGATGCGGTCAATCTCCAGCGCATGTGACTCACTCTGCTAGGTGTGGGTTGGCCTCCATTAACTTTGCCTTGAGGGTCTTGGCTAATTCCAGGATCTTTGCTGCATCCTTGGGCATTAAAGCCTGTATTATTAAACATCTTCCCACTCGGATGAAGAGTCTTCTTGAAGGGATTGTTCTTTTAGGTGGTGTGGGACCAAGTAGGGTATGTCTGGTAATACTGTCCACTTCGTTGATGCATTATGGGTCGTCTTACTCGTGTGAGTTTGTTTACCTTCGTTGGCGCTAAAATTAAGAGTACTTTTCTCTCATCATGGACATTTTTTCATCACAATCATCAAGGGCAAGTCCTATATCGCACAGGGGCCAGAGCTTCAGCATATTCCATCACAATGCAAGGGGGTATTCCGTTCGGTCCATGAGCCTTACTCCCATCCAACCTGGATAACACACCGGCAACCCTGCGAGTGGAGATTATAGGAAAGTGCATAGGTAAAGTAGGGGGAGCAGGAGTAGGAGGGATAGAGAAGAAATCATCTAAGGTGGAATTAGAGGAGAATAAAGAGGTTGGCTTTGTCAGTCGTAGCCCGCTCAGTTGATGTTTGGCCATCGTTGGTGTTAGTGATCGCACTGTGTATTGACAAAATTTTCGTTTCTAATTCCCTCTAAAGTGACTGGCAAGCATAAAAGTGAGAGTTCTGGTGGTGCTCAAAAGAAAAAGAGAGTCAATTAATTTTGAGATGGAAATTAAAATAATAATGTACAGGTGCTCCCTGACTTACGACGGGGTTAGGGACCCAAATCCAGGTCGTAAGTCGGAATAGTTGTAAGTCTGACAGAGTTAAAAAAAAAAAAAAAAAAAACCTTCAATGAAATACAGTACAGTAAAAGTAATAAAAAATGAGGAATGGATACAGTGTGACTGAGCACTTAACTTTAATGTAGTCAGCTGAATGCACACGGGGCTCCCATAATTTTCTATTTACAGGATACATGGAGGCTATATTAAATGGATGAAGCAGAGGATGAGACAGGGCTGGGTGGGTCTTCAATGTCGCTTTCTTCAGACAGGTTTATGTGCTGTGGAAACGTGTTGGTTGAAGGTATTGGATTATCTTGAGGGAGTGAAGAGACAGCACTGGTGGGGCGTGAGGAGACAGCACTGGGTGACTTCTTAAAATAGATGTCCAATTTAGACTGCACAGTTTGCTTTTTCTTTTCATTACATATTTCTCTGTAGCAAGCAAGTGCATCTTGGATCATTCTGTCAACTTTGGCAAAACGCTCATAATTTTGATCCATGCCATCAAACATTTGTATCCCTTTATTAATTGTAGCAAATGCCTCTGCCATTTGCTTCACTGAAAACTTTTTGGAGGGTGCTGGTCCTTCTTCTACATTTACACTGGCTTCTTCCTCTGCATCTTTGTGTGCTTCCAGTTTGATGAGATCTTCGTTACTTAGCTCTTCATTATCTTCATTATCAATTTCTAACTGAAGCTGTTTACCTAACTCCTCTATCCTGTTATTAATATCCGAAATAACTTCATTTTTATTAAATCCTCTAAAACTGTTCACATATCTTTTCACCTGATCCCATGCTGCAATTATGTTCTTTATACATGACAAAACGTTGTACTCCTTCCAAAACTCTCCTAGCGTTTTCTCACCTTTAGTAGCAGCAACAGCGTGAGCGAAGGTCGTACGTAAATAATACTCTTTAAAGGCAGCAATAGCTCCTGGATGACAGAGGTAGTGTTAGGTGGAATGTACACTACCTTAACATCAGGGTGCATGTCGTCCAGGTGTGGTGGGTATCCCGGAGCATTATCCAAAATCAGCTAGATCTTGAATGGAGTCCGTTGTTGCAGACAATACTCCTTGGCTCGAGGAATGAAACAATTCATGAACCAATCCTCAAACATTACAATGGTCATCCAGGCTTTCTTGTTACTGCGATAAAACACTGGCAGTGTGTGCTTGCTGACATGTTTAAAATCCCTGGGTTTCTCTGAATGATAGATCATGAAGGGCTTTAGCTTGAAACCAGCAACATTCCCCCCCAACAGAAGTGTAATTCTGTCCTTGACTGCCTTGAATCCTGGCATTGTTTTCGCCTCTTTGTGAATGTATGTCCGCACAGGCATGCTCTTCCACAATATTCCAGTCTCATCCACATTGAATATTTGCTCAGGCAAATAATTCCCTTCCACAATCACATCATCTAACTCCTCCTTAGAAGCTTCGGCAGCACCAACATCAGCACTAGCTGCCTCTCCACTCACCTTAACATTGTGTAGACTGTAGCATTTTTTAAATCTAATAAACCACCCATGACATGCTGTAAAGGTTTGCTCACATTCATCTCCTGCTTGCTCCTTCAGGCTTTGGAACAGGCTTCTTGCTTTAGCCTTAAGGTTAGAAGGCTTAAGGGTACATGCTTCTGTATTTGGTCTTCTATCCATATCACCAATAATTTTTCCATATCGTGAATAGGACCTTGTCATTTCTTCAAAAATTATAGTTCCCTTTTTGGGTGTTGTTCCTTTCACTACATCACGAATACGTTCCTTGTCCTTCAGAATAGTGGATATGGTCGAGTGTGAGAAACCTAGGTCGCGTGAGATTGTTGCTACAGTTTTACCATTCTCATATTGCATTATTATCTTCATTTTCATCTCAAAAGTCTCCTTTTCTTCTGAGCACCACCAGCCCTCTCACTTGTACGCTTTCCAGTCATTATAAAGTCAATTAAATACGATAATAACGTCAGTACACAGCTCGATCAGTATAGGATACAATAGCCAAACACCAACTAAGCGCTGTACTGAGTGAGTGTAACCACGTGGTGACCCAAGCCAGCCACGTTCTCGCCCAGGACGGAAACGTTTCGGTATAGAAAATGCAACTGGAGGATTCATTAGCTTACAGGAGACAGCCATTTTTCAGACAAAAAAAGTGCACCTCATATTCATTAAAATATGGTAGTTGTTAATTATTTTTGTGCATGCAGTACTGTATATGATTTTTAGATAGCAGAAGTAACCTACTGTGTGCTGTTTTTTGCAGACGAAGTGTTGGACAACAAGGACGGAAGTCATTTCTCTCTAAAGTGTCACAGCCAGACAGTGCCAAACGAGTAAGTAGCCGACTTAAGTCAAGGAGTACAGAGGGCCTTACACGACCAACTTTTGCTTCTGGGCGTTATACTCCAACTCGCAACAATGTGCTTTCATCAAATGCATTGGCAGCACCATCCAGTGTTAGCAGGTAGGTGTTCACTACAGTAAACATATAGGCTATAAAGAACCATTGAAATTAAGATTTCTGATGATGTGGTGCAATTAAAGTAGCTATTTTTCCAGCCACAAGTTAATTCATCATTTCTTAAAAGTTTTATGATTGAAAGCCTATGGAGCAGTAAAATCAATGAGTCTTGTACATGAGCATCCTTATTATTGTTGCAATTTTCAATACAGTACAAGGGCCCCTAAATTTTGCAGATTTTTATTGCTCAGTCCTCTATTATTCCTAGATGACACCCTGGATGTACCCAGGAATGTCTGTGGGTAGTTTTAAAGTTGCCTGCATTTTTGCTGCTGGGACAGGGAGCCATTTGTTCTAGAGACAGTGATTTCCTTTACCTGTATTGTAAATAATGTGTGTGTGTGTGTCTACACACACACACACACACACACACATACATACATACATATTAGTCCCATTGGGCCAGAGGGGAACTTGAGCCACTTGGGGCAAAAAGTAGATTTTGGTCTTTACTCATACCTCATTACATCATCTTTCTGTCTGTGGCTTTTGTACTTCTCTGGATCAGAGTTTATAGGGTCCAAAATCATATAAGACTAAGGTGAATTTCCTCCCATCATGACACTGAGAAAAGCGAGGAGGTGAACGCCGGTCCAAAGTGGAACATATCTCTCCGCGCTCTTCCAGCCATTCAGCGCGAGTGTGGGGTGTGATGTCGACCAATCAGTGCCGGGGATGCCGTGACGTATCAGCAAGGAGGGACGCCCCCCCCCCTAGTCTTTTCTGCCTGCCAATTTTATCGATCACAGGTTTTGCTAATACCTCTTTTTATTGTTTTTCAACCATGTCTGGCCACAGTGACTCGAGTGATATTGACGACCCTGTTGCCCCCTGGTAGCCCTGACTCCCCAATGCTCCTGGGCCTTCTAGGGGAAGGAAAAGGGTACGTAATGTGGAGCAATGGAAAAAAATATGACTAAAGCCAAGAGGAATGCAGGTGAAATGTACGTGTCATGTGCTACAAACAAGCCCGTCCCTGCCCGTGCTATAGGACCACCATGCAATGATGGCTGCTTCACCAAAGTCACTGACGATGGTGTGAAGGCCGTTTTTATTCGTTTTGGGGCCTAGCCAATTTTAACATGCAAAATGTCTCCATACAGAAAATGGTGGTCGTTTTACCCATAAAAAGTAAACGGACCAAGGCGGAGGTGAGTGCCCGTTCACATATGAAGCTGTGCCATATCATGTATAATAATTTGAAGACCAGGGTATGCAGGGCTGGATTCTTATCTATGCATGGTGTGTCCATTAAGCGTGTGAACAATGCGGCGAACAAGATGACTTGCACCGTCGTGCCCCTTACTGATCTACGTGGCCGTCACAAACCCCACAACAAGATTATTGGCACCATTGCAGCATGTGTTAGGGAGCACATTCATCTTCTGCCTGCAATGTCCTCCCATTATAGCAGGGCAAAATCACCACATCAGCGGTACCTGGACAGCAGGCTGAGCATCACGAAACTTTACGACCCCTACATCATGTGGTTGTCTGAAAACCATCAAGGTGAAAAGCAGGTGATATTCCATTATTATGCTGACATCTTCACAAAAGAATTAACATCTCCTTTGAGCCTCCATGTACAGACACCTGTATTACCTGCTACATGTTCAACACCGCCATCCAGAACGTCGGAGATGACCAGGACCTGATTAATGAGCAAGCCACCAAGAAGGAGGAACACTCATAGACATGAAGGTGAAACCCAGGTGGCGGTGGATGATGGTGATAGTGCAGACGAATTGCTCGAGTACTGCACCTAAGAGGTGTTGGGGGGGAGGGGGGAAGCAGAAGTAACATCATTTTGATAAAGGAGATACAGTATATTATGTTATTAATAAATTCAATGTAATCTACATCTTATTAAATTTTGTTATCATTCTACTATAAATATTCCAATTAATCTAAATTGTACCATTACAGTTAATCAATGATTAGTACTGTACTGATCAGATAATGATTAGAGTATTTCCAATAATATCATCAATTTGCTGAGTTCGAAAGCTATAATTTTCATATAAAAAATTTTCTATCTTCTATGGTTCAAGAAATAATCAGTCCCAAAGTTTCCAAAATTTTAACTGCGTTTTGTGGCGTTTTTGTTGTTTGGAACTTATTCCCGTCTGGCAAGTGGCTACTCATTTATACAATCAGAAACAATTTTATTAAAAAACGTGACAGTCTGCCCTCAAGTCCGTGATTTAATAAATAAAGCACGGACTTGAGGGTAGGCCGTCACATTTTTAATAAATTTGTTTCTGATTATTTGTGAGAGGATTTTCCCATTATTATTTATTTATGTGTGTTTTGTGTGTGTGTTTCTACACACATGCATATTATGCCTGTACATTACATATACAGGGGGGGTATACAATCAGAAACAAATTGAATAATAATGTGGCAGTCTGTGCTTTAATAAATATAGCACGGACTTGAGAGTAGACTCACGTTTTTAATACAGTTAACCCTCACTTTACGCGGTCCCACATTCCGCGTTTCCACGTTTACGCTGTGCCCTGCCGGAACCCAGGATGCTCACATTCCGCGGTGCGTGTACCCCTTTACGCGGAGAGCGGCTGGCGAGCCGCGCCATTTTTGGATCCAAACCTCCCGCCATGTTGTGTAAGCGGCGCGAACATGGTGCGCACAAGGTCGCCCAGTCATCAAAACATAACCAGTTCTTCACCCGCCACCCACCACAGCCGGCCCAAGTCAGTGACAGTGATAATTATGGTGAGGATATGGACTTATATGGACTTTGGGGAGTTTGACAAAGAGGCCCTGCAAGCCTCTGTGGTGGATAGTGATACAATTGATACAAGTGACACAGGTGAGGGCCAATAATCTGCCCTCTGCCTCGGAACCAACCGCCCATCCCTGTGTGCCCAGCCATTTTTTCTACTAATGTAAGTGTTAAGAAACCTATTATTATTGATATTTCTCTTAATTATTAATTGTGTGTGCATACCATCATAAAGTTAAGATAATATTTTTACTACAACATAGTTGTGTGTCGTCAAAAAGTGGAGTTTGGGGATCGGCCCGGACTCCATTTCAATTAATCCCATATGTTATGTTATTCACTTTGCGCGTTTCTCACTTTACGCGGGACCCTCCGGGTTACATTAACCGCGTAAAGTGAGGGTTAACTGTATTTTTTTCTGATTATTTGTGAGAGTATTTTCACATTATTTGTGTGTGTGTGTAATAATACTAATTTAAATAATGATAATAATAATAATAATTAACGGTTTATTGAAAAAGTCGGCAGCCCGAAGGCTGAAACTATACATTGGACAAAAATGACTTATTACATACAAAGACATGGGGTGGGTGGGTCGTTTAACAAAAGCTTTCATTACTGAAAGGAGAAGGAACAATGATTGAACATACAAATTAGTATAGTTTACAGTTGATTGCCTAGGCTGGTCATGGAGGCACCAGGTGGTGTGGTGTTCACGTGGCATAGTAACTTGTCCTTGGATGTTGATATGAAGGACCTCACGTGGTCATGGAGACACTGGGTGGTGTGGTGTTCACGTGGTGCAGTAACTCGTCCTCGGGTATTTATATGAAGGACCTCACGTGGTCATGGGGACACAGGGTGAGGTGGTGTGGTGTGGGGTGGTGTCACAGTACCTCACTCTGCTCAGTGATGTTGTGTTATCTCATAGTCAGGTACATAGCCGGCCGGCCCTCTGTTGTTCCCATGGTGGACTGATTAACACCTCATGGTCAGAAGAGGGCAGTCAGTTCCCAGGGGTGCTAATCCCACTGGTGGGTCACGGCTCTCACTGGTACTGTCTAGTGCTGAATTTACGGGCTTAAACACTGTTCATCACTGTTCAACAATGGTTCCACTTCTTTCCGAAACGAAATTGTCACTTTTGATTATGTTAATATCCCGGTGGTGAGGATGGGTCGGGAGAGGGACTTGGGGAATGGGCCGAACATTGGCCAAGGGCAGTGCCTGAATAGGTCTCGACCCTATGGTGGTCAAGGTGTGTAGGGGTGTGTGTGTGTGAAATAATTGTCCTAAGGGCAAACACATAAAGGAAATATAAATTTCTTTGTACACAACAGGACTGTATTTAGGAGGTAACATTAGTTGTGCAAAGGAAATTAAAACAATAGCTCCAGGAAAAATAGGATGGCCAGGCACATTTGTATTAAACCTCTCAGAGGTTAATAGCCTTCAGAGAGTCTTAAGAGACTTGAGCATTAGTAATATATTTAATACTTCTTGACTATTTGGCCCTGGAAAATTTTTGATTAATTTCAACTTTTTTTCCAGTAGGACGTCCTTTGATTCAGCACGCAACTCTGGCATAGGTAGCAAAATTAGGAAGGAGACTCGACCAATTAATGATTCTGCATTCAAGAGCCAATGTATTGACAAGATTCTAGACTTCCTTCATAAGAATGGCTATGAATACCAGGTTCAACGACGGAGTCTTCTTACCCCATCTACCAAAGATTTTGCAAATATTTTTAATGTAAGTAAGCATGATCATTTATGTGTTAATGATGCTTGATTCAAACTTGGTGTAGCTAATGTAGAAATATGCAAGTGCATTAACCACCAGGTGGACTGTACAAAAGACTTGAATTATGCCCTCCAGTGTTTGTGTTTCATCCAACATGATCCTTATCACTAATGACTCCAAAACCCTATTATGGGTAAAGCAGCTATAATAAAAATACTAAATTACACTTGTCTACAGACAGGGTATCAAAAAGTCTACTATATAATTGTTATTAAGTCACTGGTACTCCTCTACTTGGCAGCAGTGGGTGACAACATGGGTGAAGTTACTGGTGGACCAGGTTGTGGCTCATCCTCAGAAACTGCTGACATTAACAAGTAAATTTTATTGCAGTTTGTGTATCGGCACTTAGATGGCTCTTATACACTGCCTAATAGAATTGAGGAAGAAATCCCAAGGCTGCTAAAGCTCCTTCATTACCCAGTTCAGATGCCCAAGTCATCATTCATTACAGGTGGGTTGTATTGAGTATTTGAATTTATTAACTCCTTAAGTCATAGGGACTTCTCTCAGCTGAATATAACACCTACAGTAAATCCGACACTACTCCTTAATGAGTTAATCAAGAATGGTTTTATTGCATTAAATGGTAAGGGTTTCTCTCATTTGAAAATAGAGTAAATGAGTAAATATTAAAATACTCTATTGTAGCTTATAAATAAAGAAAATATAATATAAAACTATAAAAAAGAAAAATGAAGAGTATAGGTGTGTGTGTGTGTGTGCAATAATTATAATAATTAACTGTTTATTGAAAAATTTCTGCAGCCCGAAGGCTGAAAATATACATTTGACAAAAATTACATATTACATTCAAAGACATGGGGTGGGTGGGTCGTTTAACAAAATCTTTCATTACTGAAAGGAGAAGGAACATGAATTGAACATACAAATTATTGTTTACAGTTGATGGCCTGGGCTGGTTTCTTGCCATATTGTGCGAGGTCCGTGATGTAGTGACTTGTCCATGGGTGTTCACATGAAGAACCTCACGTGGTCATGGAGACATTGGGTGGTGCGGTGTTCACTTGGTGCAGTGACTCGTCCTCTGGTGTTGATATGAAGGACCTCACGTGGTTTATGGAGACACCGGGTGGTGTGGGGTGGTGTCACAGTACCTCGGTCTCTGCTGGGTGGTATTGTGTTATCTTGTAGTCAGGTGTAAAGCCAACCCAATGTTGTTACCCTAGTGGACTGATTAACACCTCCTGCTTAGAAGATGGTGGTCGGTTCCCAGGGGTGCATAAACACTGTTCAACACTGCTTCTACTTCTTTCCGAAACGAAATTGTCACTTTTGACGGGATTATGTTGATATCCCGGTGGTGAGGATGGGTCGAGGAGAGGGACTTGAGGAATGGGCCGACATTGGCTAAGGGGGCCGCTGCGCAGCGGGAGCAGCACCTGATAGGTCTTGACCCTCCGGTGGTCAAGGGTGTGTGTGCGTGTTTTTTTGCACAGGGTGGTGAAATGCATGTAGTGTGGCAGCATTATGTTAGTGTTAAGGTGCAGGCATTGCTTGCTCCCTCTCACTTTCAGCTACCACCACTGGCTAGCCCTTATGGTGAACAGGGAAGCAACTTGCATAAGTCTTCCCCTGCCAGTACACAGCCTCTTCACCATCAAGACTCCTGCTGTGCCTCCTCGTGGCATTACATGGTAATTGGGAGCCTTGTTGGCCCAGGTTAGACCAGCAGGGGATCTTGGAATAACAGAGGGATGACGCATAGGCCCACTGGCATGTGGACACGTTCTGGCTCCTACCAACCATTGACCCGCTGCCTTGCGGATTAACCTTGGCAGGTATAAGGCTACGGGAGTAAATCCGAATGAAAAATCTGAGGTGGAGCCCTGCATCAGGCAGCCATGCTTACAGAGCTCCAACAAGACCCCAACTGCAGTATAGGCAGAAGAGGTGACCACCATGGGAACCCAATGACTACACTGGCAAAAGAAGGAAATGCATGATGGATAGGCTACTAAGGTGGAACATAACAAACTGGGCTATCGGCAGTCTATTGCAACTCTCCCTCTCCCCAGTTGTTGCAACACTTGCACCAATGGATTAGGAAAAGGGGAAACCAAGATGTGTGGTTGTAGCCTGCACTCCTGCCTCACCACACAAATCAACTCACGCACAGCCATCATCCAGTTCATCATAGTACCTCTCATCATCATCATAACCCCTATACCCCCCAAAAGTCCTATGGCGATGGGCGAGTGATGGTGGGAACAGGCAGTGATGACTGCTTGGAGTCTCTAGGCACATAGGCGGCACAGATAAGATGGTCGTTTATCCACTGGGTTTTAGGCAGCAGTGCAATCCGGTCCTGTCTGTGCAACTGAGCAGCCCTTTCGAGGAACCACTCTGCTCACCCCAGAGAAAAGGTGCCCTAAACATAGCCTGCCTAAAAAACCAACCTGACTGGGCAACCACACCCAGTAAGGTCATCCTTATGCGGTTGAAAACACAACCGAAATCATAGATCCAAACAAAAAGAAACTACACAACCTCTTATGGTCGCTGCATGGAATGTGAGAACCCTTCTGGATACTGGCACAAATGAGTGTCCTGAAAGAATAACTGGTATAACATCAACATAGCAGCCATCAGTGAGTCCCGTCTCCCAGATGAGGGTCAACTCAGAACAAGAGTCTGGCTATACCTTTTTCTGGAAGGGTAAGCCTGCTGCGTAGAGAAACTGCATTTATGGAGTTGGCTTTGCCGTTTGCCACCACATCCTACACAGGCTAACTGAAATCTATCACCAATACCTTGTTTGAGCAGACCGATAAGTTCAAGGGTTCATGGCAACACCCACGATCCAAACTCTGGCATCTCATTGACTACATCATTGTCAGGGAAAGAGATCGCCGAGATGTCCTCATCACCTGTGCCATGCGTGGCTCAGACCACTTCGACACTGATCATCGGCTCGTCAAAGCCAAGCTCTCACTTCACGTCGCCCCAAAACGGCGAAGGTAGCAAGCCTCCAGAAGAGGTTTTATTACTAAGGCCCGAATTCAAAATGATGATTTGAGCCTGAGTCTTGAGCTCAGGTTAGGCCTGCGAATCTCAATTCCTCAATCCGAGATTTCCTGCAGTGGATTACCCATATTCAGAACATCAACTTGAACCCAGGATCGGGTAGTCTGTTGCATTATCTTGAATTATGAACAAGGATTCGGACACTGAAATTCCAGCCAGTCATGTTTCAGTTACACCATTATGACAGCCAATCACCATTGAGAGTAATGTTTACAAGATTATGGCGGCAACTATGACTCGACTAGTTTTTACGTAGGAGGAGAAATCTCTCCTTGCGCATCAAAAGTTACTTTTATTACTATAATTACAATAAAATTATGATCAAATTATTATGATTTATGGTACAGTACTGGTACTTTCTGGCTGCTATGCTCGTTCAATAAACTGTTAATTATCATTATTATTATAATTATTATTATTATATAATCCGGGACAGATGTCAATATTCATAACCAAAGCAAGATGAATCAATGCAGGCGTAGTATCCTTGCCAGGTTCAGTGAAGTTAGGTTTTTTCTGTTCTTTTAACCCCACATTTCCCCTGATTATTAATGTTAAGAAAAGACTTTCCTTTATTAATATACATTAAAATCAAAATGCACTCAGCATTGATTCAATTATATTAATAATAACTTCCTCACTTTCGCCCGGTTAATGTAACCCGGAGGTCAGCGTAAATGAGCGTGTAAAGTGAATAACATAACATATGGGATTAGTGAAATGGAGTCGGGCGATCCCCAAACTCCACTTTTGACTGACACACAACTATGTTGCCAAAAATTTATCTTAACTTTATGATGGTATGAAAAAAACCAAATATTATAGAAGGGTTAGGTTAGGGAAGGTAAAAGTTAACATAGGAAAAATAAAGGTAAGGTTAGAAGCTAAAGTGGGTGCCAACACTACGGTAGTAGAAGAGATAAGTCGGCATACGGGGATGGAGGCTGGTTCGAGCAGAGGAGCAGATTACTGGCCCTCAGGTGAATCACCATTACTAGGTGAATCACCATCACTGTCACCAGTTGTGGGGCTTCCCTGACAAATCCTCAAAGTCCTTCACTTGTCACTATCACCTGGCTTGGGCTGGCTGTGGTGGGTTCGCGGGCGAAAAAATCTGTTATGTCTTTGCTGGCCGGCTGGCGTTGATGTTGTCGTCATACACCTTGATATCTTGACTCCATAGCCTGCCAGCGGTTATAGGAAGACTTCATAGCGGTCATAAGTCGTTATGCAGAGAAGGAAGGACTTCATCTTCTCTGCACCTCCATGGCACCCTTAATATCACTATGACTAGGGTATGTTCTTGAGACTGGCCTTCTTCATCTCTTCACTGGCCGTGTTCTTCTTCCAACATCTAGAGTAAAGGCGGAGTCACTTCCAGGATCTCTGATCACCTCCAGGATGTAAGTGGTTGGTGGTCTCGGAGAAGCCTGGAACTGTAACAGTCTCTTGCCTTCTCTGGCAAGGTCACTGCTACTGCAACATTCTGAACCTCACCAGTCACAGATTGACTCCTCCTCTCACCTGGTATTCCATGCAACACATGTCTCCATGCGTGACGAATTACATAGCAATAGACAGCTGATCCCGCGAGCTCCACCAAAGTCTAGCTTTCTTGATCATTAAATACTCTCAGAGTTGTTTAAGAGTATTTTTGCTAGTCTAACTGTTGATCCTCATCTTCTTCGCTCTTGCTACTCGGTGGTGGTGTCACTCAGGTTCATAACTCTTCCTGGTGTTGGTGTAGTCGTTCAGGAGCTGGAAATTTTTGTTGAAATGCAGCTTTCATTGCAAATCAACTCTGGTCCATCAGGCTGGATTAAAAGGCGTAGTGTTGAGAGGAAGGAAGACCACTTTTACAATGGGGTGACGATCTAACAGTAGGGCGAGTGTCCTGGTGCGTTGTCAGCAGCAACAAAAATATTAAATACGGACATTCTGTAAGCTCACAGAATTTCTTTATCGGGAACAAAACAGTCATCAAACCAGGAGAGGGACGGTGTAGAGAACATCCATGCCTTCGCGTCGCGGTCAGCCAGTGGACATTTAAGCAGTCTGTATCCATGCTCTTGTAAGCGTCAAACTGGCGGGCTGTGTGGATCACCGATAACTTGAGTTTACAGGTACGGAGGCATTGGTGAAGTAAACAGAGACGGTGATCGTTCCTTCACCATTTTCGGCCCGAATCACCACTGAAATTCTTCCTGGCAGGACTTGGAAGGTAGCTTTTTCAGAAAAGACCAGGTCGTCATGTTAATGCCTGGTCGTCACTGTACTGTCTTCCTCCGCAATCTCACGTAAAAGCGGAGGAAATTCGAGCCGCCTTACGATCAGCACTGGCTTCTTCACCACAATGTTTTATATTGATCTTATTCGAGGATCTTAAACCTCTGTAACCACCAGAGG